ATATCACATCTTTTTTGTTCTGATTTATTGTATTAAATTTATGAGTAGTTTCTTTGGAGGGAGAGAATTAACGTTAGGCAAAGTTTTTGAGCTCTTGAATAGTTAAAATGTCTTTATTTTCATTTCAAGCTCAATTGGCAGTTTGGCTAAATATGAAAGTCTACTTTGGCTATTATTTCCTGTCCAAACTTTGAATATTTTGTTTCATTGTCTCTAATTTACACAACAGCTGCTGAAAATTCTGGTACTTTCTCAATCTTTTATGTTTACTTTTCACTGTACATGTTTAAAGTGATGTTCTTATATTAATACACATAAGTGTAGTGAAGTCAATCTTCACAATCACATGAATTAGTATGAAAATCATCTTCTTGGCCTCAGGTCTCTAATGAGAAGGGCAGGGCATGTGACTCCCAATCGACTAGGAACTCCATTTGGTGTCTGCCATGCCCTGCCTGTTGCAAAGCTCAGCCATGGATTAGGAAGCTCTCGGTTCTTTGCAAGATAATAGCCTTAACTCTCAGCTATCCCTTGAAATCAGAACTGAACAATGAAAGCAGGCAGTGTAAGATATTACCTTGAATGATAATACAGAAGAGATGTGGGATAGGTGGTATAGCACTGAGTTTGTTTAAGAGGCAGGATTTCATTTTATGTTGGACACAGGAAGAACCTGGTGTCTCAGGATCTGGAAATAATCAAACTGATCCCAGTTAAGGCACCTTTACTCATCCTTTAAACATCAGGTCGTTTGAGCCAGGATGGTTCCAAACTCCCAAAAAGGAGTTGAGGCTTAGGCTTATTGAACATGTTGAAAGGGAGCAATAGGCGTGTAGGAAAGTCAGAGGCTGGCGGCTGGCTGCTACCCATCTAAATCAGAAGGCATCTCACAACATAGCAACCCTAGCTCCTCTAAACTCCTCAAAACTCTCTAAACCAACTCCAGAGTCTCCTCCAGATCGTTAAGCACCATTCATGCTAAAGACTTACCAATTCAGTACCAATTTTCTATGCTTTTTCTCTTTTTGTTGCTTTAAAATCCCTGAGAAAACATCTTGGGAAAGAACAGATGCAACTTGGAGGTTACAGTTCAGATTCAGGGAGCCTGGTAGGCTGGTGTCTAGTGGAGATTGATCATGCAGATGCAGAGGCATGGATGCAGTGGCCCAGCCCATTCCTGCCCACAACACACCAGAGGGAACAGCACCCTAGTCAGAGCGAACCCCAGAAACCCCCCATAAAACTCATCCCCAGCCTTGGCTCCTACTGATACTTGCAGCAAGGTGGTCCAGTCTGTCCCACATCCCATTCAGCCCTCATACCCATCAATGGGTGCTGCAGCCTAGCTCAGACTAACCAGCCTACTACTCAGCCCACACTTATGTCGGTGGGTGCTGCCACCTATCCAGCCAAGCCCACCCCTGCCCTGGTTCTCTTGATCAGCAGTAAGGGTTGCAGCCTCAGAGGAGTACCCACAATTTCCCTAGTAGATTCACTTTAAGTTCCCTATCTTGCACTTGTCAGGTGGTTCTGCAGTCTATCCTGAAGGATGTGACCCCATTCCCGACACTTGATAACTGATGCTACAGCAAAACCAGACCAGCCTGCAACAACCTTTCTTCTGAATGCCCCAATGGTTACAGTCACTTAGCTCAGGCTGGTTCCCTTACAACCAAGCTCACGTGCAGGCCAACATATGTTGTAGTGCTGCCCAGCCTGGTCTGCCCCCAATCCCAGCTCTCATGGTCATCATTGGGCGAGGAGCCCAGCAGTGGAGCCCCTACAGCTCGCCTACCAGGCTAACCCCTAAGCCCCAGGTCTTACATGGGCTGTGGCCCAGTCAGGCACAGCCAGCCTCACCTCAGCATTCACTAGTCTGTGTTGCAGCTGGGTTCAGCTATTTCAGTCCAATGCAGCAGATGCTGCAGCCTAATCCAGCCCAGCCAGCCATGCAATCCCAACAGTGATGTGAACTGGCTGGTGTTGTGATCTGACCTGGCCTGGCCTGCACCCCATCCTGGTTCTCATATCTGCCAGTGAGTGCTATGATGTGGCCCCTGCCCAGCCTGTCCCCAGACCTAACCCACACATATGCGGCTAGTACTATAATCTGACCTGGTCTGGGCTGCTCCCAACCTTGGTTCTTTCACTCACCTGAAGGTGCCATTCTGACAAAGGAGTTTGCCAAACAGCTCTAATAGCTCTCCCAGTGACAGATCTCACACATACCAGTGAGTGCCTATCCTAGCCTGAGTTGGCCCACCTCCTGTCTTAACAAGTTCAGCAACCTTGCCCAACCAGTGCATACTCATTCTGGCTCTTACCATTGAGTGCTACAGCCCAGCCTTGCTTGACTGCCCTGTCTTTCACCCCTCCCCCATGAACCAGCCCACATTTTGGACAACAAGTGGGGCTGCCTTGCCTGGCCTGATGAATACCCAGGCCTGACTCATGTGCACACCAACAGGAGCTATGACCCACCAGAGGAGTTCCCTAAATTCCCTCACCAAGCCCACTCCCAAATCCCGCTCTCACTCATGCCAGTTGGTGTTAGGCCCTAACCCAATGTAGTCTGCTGTCTCCATCTCAACCTTTGTGTGCTGGTAGATGGTACAGCCCAGCCAGCCCCACACCAAAATCTTGGGTACACCTGTGGGTGCTACAGCCTGGAGTGCCTTGCCTGTTGTATTCAACACCCGTACCCATGAGAATTAGTGAGTTCCTTGATCATGCCTGGCTTAACCCTTCCCACTCCCAGCTCTTGCGCAGTTTAGCAGATATTAAAGTCCCACAGGAACAAACCCACATTCCCTACAAGATCTGCCCTCAAACCTGGTTTTCTCACATGTTGGTTAGTGTCATGCCACAGCCTAAGGTGATCCATCCCCCATCTCTAGCACTCACAGGTGTGTACTGTGGTCTAGCCCTGCCAGGTAGGCCCCCCAGCACTAGCTTTATTATACCCAAATAGACAGTAGGAGATATTAACTAGCCCAGCTCAGGTTTCCCACATGGGTAGGTGCACTGTTCTTACTCAGAAAGCTTCTCCTATTTCTCTCCTTGAAATTGCCCAGTCTAGTCCCCCTGCAAATACAATGGCCTTGTTGGTGGAAGTCCCCCAGGTCATTCCTCACCTGCAGTGTACTCCCTTAGTGGTCTCTACTCTCCCACATGCCATCCCCCCTTCTTTGGGTGATCCACAGCCCCCACGTCTGTGAACACATGGGCTCCTCAGCCAGGTCCTCTAGCCGGGTAATGTGCTGGCCTGGAGTCTGCCCACCCTCCCAGAACCCCAGGGCATGTCTACCCTACCCAGATCCTGCTAGTTTCTCAGGGCTTTAGCAAAGAGCTAGATCAGAAGTGGAGCAGTCATGACATGAACTGGTGCCCATATGGGATGCTAACACCACAGGCAGAAATCTAGCCTATTCCACCACGCTGCTGGCCCCAATTTCCACTCTCTTAGTAACATTATCTTAAGATTTTGAGGTTTAAATGTCTACATAAATTCAGAAGCCAAATTATGTTCAGATTGTATCCCTGTGGGTATTGTTGGTGGGCACGTGTCACTGATGTTATTGTGAAAACATTAGCAAAAAGAGTCTGCAGTAGTTCAGGAAACAGATTTCAAACATCAGTGTGCTAGTGGCCCTACGCTCTCCAGAGGATATCTCCTGGACTTCAAGTTCACAGTGATAACAGATGAAATTGGGAGCCAGAGCTTTCCTTCTCTTGTGCAGTCAAACCCAACACTGTGGGCAGGCACACCTAAGCATACACATATTGTGGCTCTCGTTTCATACAAGAAGCAGTTGTAAATTAATGTTGTTTTTCAGTGATTTACAGAAATATTTTAAATGTTCAATCTGCAAACTGCTTCTAAAAGGAGAAAGGTCTTCTCTGGAGTCAGTATTTGCACTCAGATTTGTAAATGTCAAAAATTTGAATTTTGCATCTGAATTTATGTCAAGCTTCACACATCTATAGAAATGGGGATGCTACTGCCATAGGAGAAACTGATTTATTTCCATGATGGATGGAATTGACAAATTTTTAAAAAGAAGTATCAGGAGAATCAAAACGCCAGAATAGGCTGAGGACACATTTAAAAAGACAGAGATTCATTAACCATGGTGAAGTAGACAGGGCATATTCCAGGAAATAGGAGAAGATAGGCTGACAGCAGAGGGGCACGTGGAGACTGACAGACACAGGAAAGCAGCAGAGACAGCCGTGTGGTATTTCAGATAGCCCATGGCAGTCAGTAAGTGGCACTCTGAGCTTCACCAGTGTCCAAAGCTCCACCAGAAAGCAGCCAGGTGGGAAGTGCAGTTCACCAAGGGCTCAGGAGGTAAACCCAGGCAAATAACTGCCTTTTTGCTGATTTGTTTGATTTGACCAGGAGCAGAGAGAGAGAGAGAGAGAGAGCAGCAGATCCCAAACAGGCATTGTGGGAACATGGTTTATCTAACAACCCAAACTCCAACCACAGCTGAACTGGATGCCATTTTGTGCAGGAGGCAAAGGCTATGGGCCGTGCATGTACTAAGCTGGGAGCAAAATCATTTATGGCTGAGTGAAAGTCTATAATGTGACATTCTATAGGTTCTACCTAAAATAGCTCCAGGCAGACCAAAACCTATAGGCCAGCTGATTCAGAACTCACCACTGGCACATCAGGTGCCATTTTGTACACTGCAATGTGGTAAAGACTAAGAGACTGTAGGGGACAACAGTGAGCAACACACATGCTGAGCTGGGAGCAAAATTACTGAGTTCAGTGCATTGCACTGGTCCCATAGGGAAAATAATACCAGCTTTGGAACTGAATAGGTCAAAATAGGTGTGGGTGGCCTTCAGACCTAACGGTCAGCAGGTTCTAGCAAGAACAGCTCTACCAACAACCTAGATATTTAGGAAACCTGATATCTTCCTAATCTTAGGAACTGCTCAAACAGGAGGTTGAAGGAAGGTTGTTCGGACAATGATACAGCCTCACCATGGAATCACAGGCAGTGGAGAGTGGTGAGCCAGATGCTCATCAGAGACCACGGTGGAAGTGTAACATAAGAACCCATATCTGAAACTCACTGGAAGGAGTGGCACAAGTGACTGCAAACAAAGAGCCATGTACCAACCACAATGAGCAAAACTGAATTGTAGACCTGTGAATGAGACAGCTTAGAAATCTATCCTAAGGAGAAGAATCTGCCAGCCAGAAGTGCAATGACTCAAGAGCAAAAGAAGAGACAGAGGCACAAGGAATATTACTGAAGACTCCCTGCATAGGAGCAAAGCCTCTGTCATCATAAGAGTTAACTGAGAAATACATCAAAAAAATGGGGGAATAAAGAATTCAAAACACATGTTATAAAGCACATGCAGGAACTGAATGAATATGTCACACAGGACATAGCAACACTGAAACAAAATCAAAAAGGATTATTAGAGATGAAGGATGCAATAGCACAAATCAAAAATTCAGTGGAAAATCTCAATAATAGAAGGAATAAGACAGGAGAAAGAATCTCAGAATTTGAAGACATTTCTTGTCACAGTAGGGAAATAATCAAAAGCTGGAAGCAGATCTGGGCGAAGCTAAAAAAGTATTCAACAATTGAAAAATACTAATAAAAGGCTAAATATAAGAGTTATAGGAGTCCCAGAAGGTGCAGAGAGAGAAACAAGGTTAAAAATTTATTTAATGAAATAATAAAGGAACACTTGCATAATCTGGAGGAGAAATTGGAAAACAACACCCAGGAGGGCCACAGAATTCCCAACAGTGTTGACCAAAAGTGATTATCTTCACCTTGACACAAGATGATCAAGCTCTCTTCAGTTGAACACAAAGAATAGATCCTTGAATGTGCACATGAAAGAAAATCGATTGACATATAGAGAAATGGCAATGAGTCTCATAGCTGACCTCTCACAGGAAACTAACAGCCAGAAAAAAATGGAGCAACATATTCCACATTCTAAAAGCAAAAATTTCAGCCCAGAATAACTTACCCAGCAATGCTTTCCTTTGTCTTTGAAATGAAAATTCTTTAACAGTAAAGAAAAGTTAAAAGGATATGCCTCTTCCAAACCTGTCCTACAAAGGATACTTAAAGATGTTCTCTTGACAGAGAAGAGGAATCACATCAACCAAAAGCAAAAGCAAATGTGCAGAACACCTCAGTAAAATAAGAAACAGAACACTAAATGAATGAAAAACTTACTGCTGAAATGACAGATCCAAATTATGACCTATTCATATTAACTCTAAATACAAATGGCTTAACCTCATCATTTGCTACTAACTTGCAGTTTGTGCTTTGTTTCCTTTGCTTAATTCTGCAGGTCCCAAATCCCAGTACCTACCCAAATTCATGACTCCATGTCTTGGTATGTATGCATAAAATAAAAGGTGTGACCCACTCTCGGTTGAAATCCCTTTTTCATACTGCAGCATTCCAAAGAAACTCAAATCTGAATTCATTAGGAGTAAGGTACAGCTGTCCTGGACCCTATGTGTGTTTGGGAGAAAGAATGATAGAAGAGAGCTTTAAGGTCCAAACAAGTTCCTGAAAGCTTCTAATTCATTTCTGCCTGTAAGGTCCCATTCTGCAGGCAGCTGATATGTGAGCATCACCTATTCAGTGAAGCCGCAACTGCCTATTCTTTTCCTCTCTTGTTACTTTGAATCTTTTCCATTTCTTTTCAAGTCCCTGTATTTCCACATAACAAGGAGTACAGTTTTGTTCTACAGGACAGCTTGGTAATGATCTAAGAACAATTAAGATACTTAGCCAGGTAATTGAAAATATGGTAGAAAGAAAGAAATTAAATGAAAGAATGTATATGTTGAGTTCTAAACCACTTAAATTTCCATCCTGCCCACACCCAACAGGCTAGTTGAGTATGATCTTCCTGAGTTTCCTTGTCTTTGAAAATGAAGATGAGAAGCACATTTCTAGGACATGGTGAAGATTAAGTGAAATACCTGTTTCAGCACTTAGACTATGGTTCAATCATTGCACCAGCACTAGACCATTCATCATGAACCTAGCACCCTGAGAATGCTGCCAGCAGTGTAAAGTCCTTGAAAACCAAATATTTAATGACTAGCCTTTCAGTAAAAGATTGTGCAACATTAGCCACGATCCATATTTCTACTTTGTACCATTCACATTCACAAAGCAGGACTCAGGAGGGAATGACAGGAAGGGTAGACACTGTTCTCTGGTTCCTTGAGCATCCATGTGTACAGCATAGCTAATGGGATGGTTTGGAGTGGAAAGGAGATGAATACTGATTGTATTTTTATGGGGTACTTTATTATGCACCTTCATATACTGTGCACAGCAATATGACAAAGCAGGTATTTATTATTTATTATCATACTTCTTTGTTGAGACAACCAAGTCTCAGAAAGATTAAGTACCCTTCTCAATTACTACATGCTAGTAGTTGGCATCTTCTAATCTTGCTAGATGTTTAAACTTGCCATGCTTGAAAAATCTCACTGTACAAGAATAGAAACTCGGGCCTGGAGGCATGGCATAGAGGCTAAAACGTTCTCGCTTTAAACTCCCCAGGATCCCATATGGGCGCTGGTTCTACTCTCGGCAGCTCCACTTCCCATCCAGCTCCCTGCTTGGGGCCTGAGAAAGTAGTCAAGGATGGCCCAAAGCCTTGGGACCCTGCACCTGCGTGGGAGACCTGGAGGAGGTTCCTGGCTTCTGGCTCTGGATCAGCTCAGCACCGGCCGTTGCACTCACTTGGGGAGTGAATCATTCAACGGAAAATCTTCCTCTCTGTCTCTCCTCCTCTCTGTATATCTGACTTTGTAATAAAAATAAATAAATCTTTAAAAAATTTAAAAAAAGAATAGAAATTCACCCCCAATTTAAGATATCAGCAATGCTTTGCTTTTCAAGTGAGCACTAACTCTGGGTCCCAGTCATCCATCTGTCTCTTCCACATCACTCCTTCTTCATCTCACCTAATACATGGCAAAAGGTTTTGTACCTTCTATCTCTCAAGGAAAAGGACTGGTCAATCTGGATGGACCCAAGTGGTTCCAGCATCGTCGCCTACTGACTCCAGGATTCCACCTTGACATCCTAAAAACATACATTGAGGTGATGGCTTACTCTGTGAACACAATGCTGGTAAGTGAAAGAAAGTGTTGATGTGGTGCAAAATACTGCTAGTGGGGATCATTAGAGACATACATTTAATAGATAGCAGGAATCAAGCATCAATTTGCATGAATTAATCAATGTAGAATTATCCATTGTCTATGTGTCTATGGTAAGCCTTTGCTACTTTCTTGGGGAGGTTAAAACAAGATGTTTAAAATCTATATTTTGAGATCCTATGGTAATAAACCAGACAGTGCCGCGGATGAGAGGCAAACAGCCTAGGAAGAACCACTGTAGCTTCAAATTCCAGAGGACGCCAACCTTCACAGAAACTGCAGGTTGAACTTGAATCTGTAGATATAGGAATTCTAAGCAGAGTGAGTCTGCAGGAAGGAAGACTTGGGAGCTGGAAAGGATTTTCCCCAGGACCAAAATGGACCAGCAGAGGCTGTGGAGAAACACCCCCATAGATTATCTCTGATTTGTAATTTGACTTTATCCAAAGCTCTGCTTGTACAAATATTTAAATTTTAAAGTTGTATTTATTTTAAAAAACAAGCAGTCCATTAATAGGTCTACTGTAAATACTCAAAACACTACAAATAAGCCCAAAGTTCTTCTCCTCCAGAAATGTGCCCCTTTCCTCAGAGGAAGCACTGTGACCAGTTCTTTGGTTGGGTTCTTAGCCAAGCTCTCATCCGAACTTAACCTGAAGTCCACAAGATTGTGGTGACACTATCTGTGTGAGCTGTGTGGGCAAAGCCCTAGAGACCAGGATGCAGATGCTGGAAGGGAGGCAAACATCTTCCTCCAGGCCCGGTACTGTTCAGTGTTCAACACACTTAAAATCTGCCAGGGACTATGTGTCAGTTCTACCAGCCTGTCCAGGAGCCATGTGTGTTCCCCTCATTCCCACTCTTGCATTTCCTTGAGATTGCTCTCATAGATGCTCCCTTCACTGAAGGTTCTAGAGTGTTTCAAGACAACATTGCTTTTATTTCTTTTAAATTCACCTTTTGTGCTCAGTAAAATTACCTGTCTGATCAGATGCAAGTTACTGGAGTGAACAATGCCTCCTTAGATAAATGTTTTTACAATCCTTTGCTTTTCATTTGAGGTCTCCAAGTCCTTAACTTCTAGGTTAGCACCTGCAAATGTGCAACAGACATAGGTTGACCTCAACATAAACATCTTTTCAATTGACTTTTATTTTTAGAAAATTAAATACAATAGCAAGTACAGTCCAACTGGAGACTTTGTGAGTTTCTAAAAGTCAAGCCAAATATTTTAGAAAATACCAAGTGACTAGTTCTCTGTGGATGCACAAGTTAACTGGACACAGTGTGACCAGCTAGGAACTAGCTCCCTGTAGCTGCTTCTCTTTCCAGCTTTTTTGTCTGCTAAAATGAATCTAAAACACATTTTAAAATATCCCAAGTTTTAACACGGTTGTGGTGGTTGAGAGCAATGTTGTATATCTGCCAATTTGGGGACTGAAAATGAGAGAAACTCTTAGGGAACCTCTTGTAATTATAGCCCTTGAATCACAGAAGATCTGTTTTATGGACAGGGTTGATATTACCCAACGGCCACAGATCTTTACACCAGCCATTTACCAGATGCGCAGCTTGTTCCATGTTCTCTGTCATTCAGCTGAGTGCATGCCCCAGATCAGTGTGCTATTTATTCACCTGAACTTTGGTTTCTGTGAGGTCAAGCTTGTCTCTCTCGAGTCCTAAGTGCAGAGTCTGGGAAGTATCCCCACCTCCAGACAGACTGATGATGTTTATGGTGTTGATGTTGATCTTGACCTCCCATGTCAGGGCAAGTGGGAGAAGATTTGCAGTGCTCAGGACACGACCTTGGAGGTATATGAGCACATCAGCTTGATGGCCCTGGACATAATCATGAAATGTGCTTTTAGCCAGAAGACCAACTGCCAGATAAACAGGTCAGTGACGGAAGAGCAAAAAGATATATTTGTTTAACAGTATCTAGATCAATTATTAACATACTGTCCCATCTTTCTCTTCTAGTACCTATGATCCTTATCTAAAAGCAATGCTCGAAATGGGAAAAATAACATTTCACCATTTGTATAATTTCCTACATCACCATGACATAATTTTCAAATTCAGTCCTCAGGGATACCGCTTTCATAAGTTAAGCCAAGTGCTGAATCAGTACACAGGTATTTCTTGGATAATGGTTGTCCAAGTCTGTATACTATCTGACTATATTGTGACTCTTGAGAGAGATAAACCTCACTGTGAATAGAGAATCCTGTTCTGCTTGGTTTTGTGATTTACTCACCTTGGAGGCAGAGAGAAAGAAAAACAGAAAGATAGAGATAAAGTGTTCATTTACTGGTTCACTTCCCACAAATATCTGCATTGGAGTCTGGAGAGTGCAAAAGCAGGAATAGAAAATTCAATCCAAGTCTCCCACATGGGTGGCAGGAACTCAACTATTGGAGTCCTCATTCCTGAATAACAGTGTTCACATTACTAGGAAGATGGACTCAGGGCCAGAAAGCCAGTCTCAAACTCAGACACCCCAAAGTGGAATGCAGATATCTCAACTGCTGTGTTGACTCTTTTCACTGCTAAGTCACACATTAGACCCAAAAGGTTTCATTTATTTGAGAGACTGACTGACAGAGGCATAAAAAGATAGAGAGATCTTCAATCTGCTGGTTCACTCTCTAAATGCCCTCAATAGTCAGTGCCTGGCCATGCTGAATGCAAGAGATAAGGACTTAATCAGTTTTCCATGTCAGGAAACCAAGTACTTGAACCGTCACCCAGTGTTGCCCAGACTATACACTAGCAGCAAGCAGAAATAGGGGATAGGTCTGAGACTGAAATTCACATGTTCTGATATGAGATTTAGGCTTCCCAACATGGAAAGTGTAACTCCAACAGTCCAATCTACTGTTTTTTGATTGTCTGTTTGCTTTTTTGGCTGTATCCCATGTGTTTTGATGTTTTTATTTCAGTTTGGTTGCTTCTGAATAATCTCTTTTCTCTAGCAGAATCCATCATGTGCTCATGAAGTATATGATGGCATCTTTTTCCCAAGAGACTTCTGTGTTCCCTTTTTGTCACATGTGTGTTGGTTACTCAGTGGCTCGTTATTTTTTTCAGGGTGATATAATTTGTTGTTCATGTTGTTGTTGATATGGCTGTTGTGAAATGATGTCAATCCAAAAAACAGTAATACTATTTCAACCCCACAAGCCTGTATCTCATGCAATAAGATATTGAGAAGTAACCAATGAACCAACAATCGATATGAGTCAGACTGCATATGATCTACATCAAAGAATTGTAAAACCTAATATATTTGTAAGGCCCTATGCTACCCAGAAATGGGGAGGGAGAGCAGAGAAATCTTCCATCACCCTGGAAAGTGTGAAGAAGACGGGAAATATAGCCTATCAGGATCATAACTGGTAGCTCATAGACAACAGGCTCGAATCAGCATTAGACAATAGCAAAACCACAAAGGCATATGTGGGGAATCAGGAGTGATCCTAACAACCTCTTAACAGGAGGTCATATGTACAGAGCAGGGAGGACCGCAGAGTGGAGGAGTCAGACAGGAGGAGGCTTGTATCCCAACCCTGAAGACTCCCAGATCCTCACCAAGGATTATCAGTACCAGCACTGAGGTCTACATCCCAACTGCCAAGGAGACCATGGGGAATTGGAGTGCCTTTGGAGACTGAGAACTCTGAGATCACCCACCCCCATTTGGATCTACCACATGGGATGGAAGAAGCCCAAATCCTGCCTTACGGGATCCAAGGTCATTGGAACGACAACCAGGAGCACTGAGCAGTCTGCAGAAACAGAAGAACAAAAAACTTCCTTCAGAACTAGGGAGAGCAGCTTTCTCTCTAGGTCCTTGCCTGGTTCTGACTTTGGGTCCCCACCCTCTCTTGTGATAACCATCAGGATCACTCCAGAAACCACTCAAAAGAAGCTAACAAACAATAAGTCTAGAACAGATAGACAGAGAACAACAAGGAAGGCTTGGAATCAGACAGGAAATGGTCAATGGGGATGCACTTATAACTCACTGGGTGGGACACAAAGATTAGTTACTCCTAACTAGGGTATTGAAGATTTCTGTGCACACTCCTCCTAAAACTGCTCACCTAAACTGTTGACATATGTCTTGTTTGAGTTATAGAGTTAGACTACCTGAAAACAGCCAGGTTCAGCAAAATCATGCTTCAACACTATAAACTGCTAAATACTAAAATGAAAATAGACATGAGACAGCTGAATAGTAATGTGTAGCCATTTTAAGGTGTATAGAACCTGGTTGTATATAAACTAATAAGTGAAATGTCAATGTAGAAGTCACAAGATGTGGTTCAGAACTTGCATTCTTTTTTTCTCTCTCTCTCTCTCTTTTAACATATTGGTTACTCAATACTATGTCAACTAATTCCGTAATGTTACAAATTGTTACTGAGGTAATGTTGGGATTTTTAATTTATCAGGATGATACTCTGCAGACTCTACCTTCAGACCAGAGGTCTCCCCAAGAAACTGTTGAACTTATCTGGACAATAAGACACTGGACTTTATGCTTGGTAGATGCTTGCAAGGAAAGAATCTCAACTGAATTTGAGCTGTGGTAATGCAACAAGGTGGAGGAATCCACCATGTGGTGGGTTGGGGAGGGAGGGAATCCCAGTGCCTATAAAACTGTGTCATATAATGCAATGTAATCAATAAAAAAAGAGAGAGATTTAGGCTTCCAAATTTGTGTCTTAATTACTAGCTCTAATGCCCACTCCCCAACCCAGAATTATTCTTCTTAAAGAAGTTTTTGAGTAGAAACTGCTCAAATGGAGTACAATTTGAGTCCCTTTGGAGATTTTGCTACACTATAGTAATAGTTTTATCAGAGCCTTTTGCTATACCAGTCCTTTGTTGACAAGTATTATTAATATAATATGACAAGAGGATATGTAAGATTTCAACAGACATAGGACATGTGACTTTGTGCATCATAATTGCAATAATACCGACAAGCTAAAGATATGCAACAGGAATGAAAAGGGATACAGAGCAAACATGGACATGAATTCAATAAGTTAACTCTAAAATACTTTTTACAGAACATACATGTAAAAGATGAAATAGATTAAGCTTTCTTAGAAATTCAACATGCCTCCTAGATTTGGTCTGACTCAACTCTGGCCATGTGGCCATTTGTGGAGTGAACCAGTGATGAAATACCTGTGTCTGCCTTTCAAAGGAAATAAATTAATCTCTACAAAAGATAAGTAATACTTTTATCAATTCTAACATTTTCTAGCTAGCAATGACTTTTGACCAATTACTGCTTTTCTGCAGTGTCATCCATGCATTGTAGTGTTTTTGGCCATGGGACTAAGTACACCTGGGCCTACCCTTGCCCCAGGAGAAGGTTTGTAGGCACAGATTATTCTGTTTAAATACCACCAAATTCCATCTCAGTAATATACCACTTAGATATTTGTAAAAAATCTGGGCTGGGATATCCCCTGTGACTGAAATCATGCCAGCACAAGGGTGTGCTAGCAATAAGTCTAGCTTTAGGATGCCACCTAGTGTTGATGTGGCCCCCCACAGGCTCAGAGAAAATAAACAGCACAGCTAGGCTTTGTGAAGGATAGCCACAAACCAGATTAAAAACATTGAGAAACAAACCTAGTCTTCAAATGTGCATGTGTTATCAGATGCCAACAATCATCAAAAACTTTCAGAAAGTCTTTTAGTGGCAAATTTTCAGCACTCAGAAAAATTCAGATATCACTATTTTAATATTTTAGGGAAGCTCAACAAGCCAATGATTTAATTCTGAAGCAGACACATGGTTTAATTATATGCGATCTGTATAGTTATATATAGATTGAACAAATAAACTCAAATCATTTTTCAAAATTAACCAAAAATTATAAAGCAAGGGTTCACTAAGAAAAGTAGAAAATGTGATACAAGGCATCAATACCAATAGGTTTAACACTGAGGGTATTTTTAGGAAGGTGAAACTTTTGCATAATGGCACAATAATTTTTATAATGGGAAATACATATCCTAGTATGCTTGTCAAATTTATAGAGTATACAACAGAGAGAAACCTAAAGTAAACTATGGGCCTGAGTGGATCACAATACAGGCTCATCAATCATAGCAAATATACTACACAAGTCAATGTTGATTCATCAATTATAACAAACGTACCACACTAAGACAAGGTAATAATAATAAATGGAACGATAGGGAGAGAGAGCGACCAGGAGGTATATAGGAACTCTTTCACTCTCTTCTGAATGTTTCTGTGAACTACTCTAAAAGTAAAATATGTTCGAAAACGTACTCTAACAGCTGGACCAACAGAATAGAAACCAATGTCCAGAAATAGATCCATATGTATGCATTAGCTTAGAATAAAATGAAAGCAGTTATCTCAGCTCCCTGGAAAGGATGAACATTTTTTTCTCTTTTTAACTTTTTGAAAAACCATTTTTAATTTACATTTTAATCAAAAAATCTGCTCCACTAAGAGTTCAACAAATAAAGTAAAAACACAGTGGTTCAAACAGTCAGGAGCCCAGAGCGGTCTGCAGAAACAGAAGAATAAATTCCCTTCGGGACTGGGGAGAGGAGCTTTCTCTGGCCCTTACTTAGTTCCAACTTTGGATCTCCACCCTCTCTTGCAATGACCACCAGGGTCGCCTCAGACCTCCCCCCACCAAACAAACAAAACAAACAAACAACAACAAAAACAGAATAGACAGAGAACAACAAGGAAAGCTTAGAACTAGACAGGAAATGATCAGTGGGGACTCACACATACCTTACTAGGCAGGACAGGAAAATAAGTTACTCCTAACTAGGGTATTGAGGTTTATTTAATTCTTCTGTTGCCTCTGGACTGAGTTTTGGTAAGTGGTGGAGGTCTAAGAACTTTTCCATTTCTTGGTGGTCCTCTAATTTATTGGAGTACAGTTCTTTGTAGTAATTTCTAATTATTTTCTTAATGGTTGCAGTGTCTGTTGTTATGTTGCCTTTTTCATCCTTAATGCTGTTGATTCTCGCTTTCTCTTGTTGTTTTTTGGTCAGTCGGGCCAGTGGAGTGTCTATTTTGTTTATTTTCTCAAAAAACCAACTTTTTGATTTGTTGATTTTATGTATAGTTTTTTTTATTTGTATTTGGTTTATCTCCTCCCTTGTTTTGATGATTTCTTGTTTTCTATTGTGTGTGGGACTCTTCTGTTGCTGTTTTTCCAGTTCCTGGAGATGTGTGGTTAGTTCCTGTATTTGGCGTCTTTCTTCAGCCTTGACATGGGCTCCGATTGCGATGAATCTACCTCGTAGCACTGCTTTGGCGGTGTCCCACAAGTTTTGGAATGTTGTATTGGAGTTTTCATTGGTTTCCATAAATTTTTTGATCTCATCTTTAATTTCTTCCCTGACCCATTGTTCGTTTAATAGCATATTGTTCAACTTCCAAGAGTGCCTATACTTCCTGGGGAGTTTTGAGTTGTTGATTTCCAGTTTCATCCCATGGTGGTCTGAGAGGGTACATGGTATGATTCTAATCTTTTGGAAGTTATTTAGATTCGCTTTGTGTCCTATCATGTGGTCGATTCTGGAGAAGGTGCCATGCACCGCTGAGAAGAATGTATAGTCTGTGGCCTTAGGATAAAAACTTCTCTATATGTCTACTAAGTCCAGTTGTTCTATTGTTTGTGTGAGCTCTGTTGTTTCTTTGTTGAGTTTTTGTTTCATAGACCGGTCCATTGATGTTAGAGGTGTGTTGAGATCGCCTACAATTAGTGTGTGAGTATCTATGTCTTCCCTTAAGTCTGTAAGTAATTGCTTTACGTAACTAGGCGCATTGAGATTTGGTGCATAAACATTAATGATGGTGATTGCTTCTTGATGGATCATTCCTTTCACCAGTATAAAATGACCTTCCCTGTCTCTTTTGATGTTAGTTAGATTGAAGTCTATCTCATCTGAAATTAGGACAGCTACCCCGGCTTTTTTTCTCGTCCATTGGCATGAAATATCTTTTTCCATCCCTTCACTTTCAGTTTCTTTGCATCTTTTTTGGTTAGATGTGTTTCTTGTAGGCAACAGATGGTTGGCTCTTGTTTGATGATCCATTCCATTAATCTCTGTCTTTTGATTGGTGAGTTTAGACCATTTGTGTTGAGAGTTAAAATTGAGAGGTTGCAATTTTGCCCTGCCATGCGAGTGTGTTTTGTGTGTGTTGTTGTCTATGTAATTGCCTTCCTTGTGTTGGCTTTAGTTTGGAGACCTTCCTGTTTGCCATCTTTGTTTGTGGTTTGCCTCCTTTTTTTCTGGAATTAGCGCATTTCTAAGGAGATTTTGTAGAGTTGGTTTTGTGTTGGCATATTCTAGTTTTTCTTTGCTATGGAAGTATCTGATTTCGTTCTCATATACAAATGAGATCTTTGCTGGGTATATTATTCTTGGTTGACTGTTGTTTTGCTTCAGGATTTGGAAAATCTTTGTCCATTCTCTCCTTGCTTGTAGGGTCTCTTCAGAGAGGTCAGCAGTGATTCTGATGGGTTTTCCCCTGTATGTGATCTTTTCTCTGCTTCGTACTTGTCTCAGGATTCTTTCTTTGTCTTCGTTGGAGTAGAACTTGAGTATCATGTGTCTGGGTGAAGATCTCTTTGGATCATGTCTGTTGGGAGTTCTCTGTCCATCCTGTATGTGGGTTGGATTCATGTTCCAAGTGTTTTGGAAGTTTTCCTGTATAATTTCGTTGAGCACCCCTTGCATTCCTGACTCTCTTTCCACTGCTTCAGGAAGGCCCATGACCCGAGTATTCGATTTTCTGAAGTGATCTTTCATTTCTTGTATCATTTTATTAGCTTTGTTGAGGCTTGTCTCCAGCTGTTTAATTCGCTGGGCACCTTCATTTTGTATGTCTTCTGTTTCGGAGATCCTTTCTTCTGCTGTATTTATTCTGTTGATCAGAGTTTCAATTTTGAATTCCAGGTCAGCCATTTTGGTTTTGACTTGTTGTATTTCTGTGACTATGTTGTTCTTGAAGTCTTCCCACGTCTTCTCATGGTCTCTGACAAATTTTAGCATTATTTTAAAAAATTCCTTAAATGATAAATCTTCCATGTCTTCATCTTGCATCTCCGATATTGGTAATGGCTTTTGGCCCTCATTTGGTGGGGTGCTGGCTCTCTCAACTGAGTCGTTGCTTTTTCTGATGCTTTTTCTCATTGTGTTATTTTTTCCACGTCCCGGGCGGGTTGTTGTGTTTCCTGCTTACTTTTCTGGATTCCTTCCAAGTTGCGTGATTCTTCTTGGTTGCTCCATGTTCAGGGATGCTACAAGCACTCCTCTCTGCATGTTTCTGGTCTGCTGCTCTTCCCTCAGCTATCTTTCATTCCTCGTTTACCAAGTCCTCCTCTATGCCTGCCCTTCTCGGTCAGCCTCCTTCTATTTCCTTGGTTAGGTATTGTCTTGTGCGTGCCAACAGGGATAGAGTGTGGATGAGAGACTTTGTAGGCTTGGGTTTCTTGTCTTTGCTCTGGGTGGATATAGAGCGTGCGGTTCCACACCCTGCTACACTCTCACAAATGTACTCCCCTGTTGGGAGACACACTGCTGTGGCCTGCTTGCCTGTGCCTCCGCCCAGGTTAGCAGACTCTATTGAGCAGTTCCCCACCTCTGGAGTTAAAGCTGAGTACAGCAGGGGGTTCTGCCCCAGTCTCCAGCCACCTGCTGCTCTTTCCTACCCTGAGTTGTGTCAGATGGCTCTGTGGGCCTGGCCCTAGTGCAAGGCTGCTCTGCCTGTTACACTCTCAAAGGCGCTGTCCCACTGTGAGGCGCACTTGTCTCCCTCCAAGCCTGCCAGCCTGTGACCCTGCCCAGGCCTGCTAGCTGTTTGGAGCAGTGCTGCCCCGCCTCTGGAGTTGGGCCTGAGCATGGCAGGGGGTTCCACCGGAGCTTCCAGCTGCCTGTGGCTCAGAATTCGCAGCCCTCAGCTGGTTTGGGACAAGTTGGCATGCCACTGCCTAGTGAGGGCCCCTGTTGCACTCTCTCAAAGGCGCTGTACCACTGTGAGACACACTGTTGTGGTCCTGCTAGCCCATGCCTCTGTCTGAATCAGTAGGCTTGATTGAGTGGTGCCCCTCCCCTGGGCTAAGAGCTGAGCACAGCAGGGGATTCTGCCCCAGCCTCCAGCTGCTGGCTTGGGGCTTGGAATCCGCAGCACGGAGCTGGGTCAGAAAAGCTTGGGTTGTTCAGGCCTAGTGAAGCTTCCTGCTGCACTCTCTCAAATGTGCTGCACTTTCTCAGATGTGCTCCCTGGCTGTAAAGTGCGCAGCCATGTCCCTGCTAGCCCGCACCTCTGTGTGGGTTGGCAGACTCCAAGGTGCGGTGCTCCCCCCTGGGGCTCAGGCCAAGCACAGCAGGAAACCCCACAGCTAACCCACAGTTTGGAGCCGAATTTCTGTGACCCAATCCCTGAGAGTGCTTCCAGGCCCCTCTGCACTCTCTCAATGGTGCTGAGCTGTTGGTGGGCATTCTGCTGGGGCCCCCTCCCCTGCTTGTCCTCAACCTCTGCAGGGGTTGATGGCCCCTATGTTCAACCTTGTAGCCACCCTTAGGGTTTCAGGGACTCCAGTAGTGTGTGGCTCCCTCTGGTGTGGGAGCTTGTTTTTGCAGCTGCCCTTATCTTCCCTGGGTCAGCCAAGATTGTGCCGACCTTCCCCCTGCCTGGGACCATAACTCACCAAGTCTTGCACAGAGTGTTGTCTTTCCTTTCTTTCTTTTTCTGACTGTCCCTCCAAGCTGTGTTGATCTTCTTACTTCAGTGCAGTCTAGTGACTTTCCCACTCCTCTCCCTGCAATTCTGTGTCTCCTGGTTTGTTCCTCTGCTGGATCGGTCCTCCTCACTTTGTTCTCTACCTTATACCAGCTCCTCCAGGTCAGCCATCTTCCTCCCCAACACCTCACTTTCTAATTAGAATATCTGACACCTGTCTGCTTCCTCTGTCTCTGGGACAGCTTTCAAATCTCACACAGAAAGAGTCTTGCTTTAATATTCTGATACATTTTGATACATCAGTTTATGTATGTATACATTCAGATGGCAAACTGGTTTACCACTAGTTTGGTGTTTACCATGAGAAACAATCAAATTGAAGAGAAGATCAATATTTACAAACTGGATAAGAATCTGAGGTCCCTCGTTCCTTTTCTCCCTCTCCCCACAGGGACCAGCTGAGCGAGCTGTCGTACACTGAAATGCGCATCAGTGAGGCATTTCGCCTGATTCCTCCTGTCCCATCCATTTCCAGGACACTCAACAAGCCCCTCACCTTCCCAGATGAATGCTCGTTGCCTGCAGGTCTTTGCATTCTTTTCCTAAGTTCCTCCTAAAGATCGTGAGATCCTAGGGCCCACACTGAAAAAGACTGTAAGATTTCTTAGCTCTTGGAGAACTCAAAAGACATTCTTAAGGACAACTGGCTTAGTGCTGGGCACGGAAGATGTGAATTTCAGTAAGTGTTCCAGCTGCACATAACCAGGTGTGGCAAAACAGAGTCCAACATTCACATCTCTAGTATCCCAGCCCAGAGTTAATTCCCAGGAGTTAAATGCTTCTGGGACATAGTTTTTGAGGTCATCTTTGACCAGGTTTGAAATTGAGATAAAACATCGTATGAGATGAGCACTGTCTCTCATCTCTCATTTTTAGCTGGAAGACCCAGAAAGGGAGAGAAGTGTGGTTGCATCCTGTGGGAGTCAGGCATTCTAAGACCTCATCACCAGTGTCACACTCAGTAGTGCTCAGGAATGTACATTTTATACAGAGTTTTCAAACACATTAGCTCATTTTCTTCTTGCACATGATATTAAGATGTGTATGTAATGCTTTAGAGTGTATGGAGCATTTCAAACTTTGTTGATTAACCAAAAACCCGCTGGGGGAGCCCAAAGTGCAACAGGTTGACTTACGGAAGCAGATCTGTCAGAGGGCAGTACCTGGAACCAGGGTTGCTCAGAACACCACGCGTTTCTGAGAGAGTCCCTGGCAGGCATGCGAGACACACTGTCTCCCCTGTTCTGTTAACTCTTGCTAAAAACAAGCCAAGAGGACTACTTACAGCAAACAACCACAGCTGTCACTAGAAGCTTGTTCACAAACCCAAAATCAGTTTATCAGAATAACTTGTGGTCTCAAAGTAACCTTCAAATTCTCTCCCCTTTTCCTAATTTTTATGCTGAACCACATGGATATTTCCTCAAATCTCACACCTTCCACATGTAAATAGCACCAACAGGAACTTTTCCCTGGATCTGAATAATGGAACTAAACTCTGGTTCTTTGTACCTAGATTGTCTCAAAGAGTGTTTTAGAGTCCATTAACAGAAATTTAAGTAATTGCCTAACATAGCAAAAAACATAAGCATGGCTTATGATTTTGACATGCTACAACCACTTCTTCAAACAGAAACATAAGTTGAAGTAAATCATTGTTTGAAAACTAAGATGCCAGCCCAAAGCTCTTTCTCATATGTGCCTCTGTGTGGCATCAACTAAGGCATACACAGCTTCCCAAGGAACTGAATCTTCCCAGTAAGAGGAAAAACTTTGTTGAAGAGCAGGGTACCAGCTGCCCAATACTTGTTCTTTCTTTTGTAGCTTCTCTTGTTTTCCTCCTTTCTCAGGAATGGTCGTGGTCCTCAGTATTTGGGGTCTTCACCACAACCCTGCTGTCTGGGAAAATCCAAAGGTATGACCCTTACACACACTTCAAAAACCTAATGTGCTGTTTATGTTTTGCAAACGAAGCATTCGAAATGGCTCTACAAATAAGGAAAATGATACAAAAGAGAAACAAAGATTTGTGCTTGGGGCAGGCATTTCCCACTACAGTTAAATTGTCGCTTGGGACTCTCCTGTCCCGTGTTGGAGTTCCTGGGTTCAGTCCTAGCTCTGCTTCTGATCCAGCTTCCCTTTATTGGACACCTTAAGAAGCAGCAGACAGCAACTCAAGTTCTTGGTCCATGCTCTGCAACCGGGAGACTCCGACTGAGTTCCAGACTCCTGATTTCAGCCTGACCAAACCCTGGCTGTTGCAGGCACTTGGGGAATGAATCAGCAAATGTAAGATCTTCCCCCCAGTTTCTCTGCCTTTCAAACTAAATAAATACACAAGTTATCCCCTTCTCCTATTCCTATTCCTATTCTTTCTTCTGAGTGAACAGGTGCACATAATGCCCCATGATTTGCTATCAATTACCACAATCTGTTTTTCAGTGATTCACCTGTTGAGCCCTTAGGAAAAGGCCGTGAGTCATTGATAGTGAGTGCACTCCAGTCATCTCACTTTTGCTGGATGGAACAGTCAGATCCTAGCAGGAAGTCAATGACATACTCATTTGAGTAGTGGGTTTAAGGAAAGGTAAAGCTGAGCAAATACATACCTCAAGTGCTAATCCCGTCTAGGCCACAGGGCCTAGGATTGAGGCGTAAGAACCAGGGAGAGTCCTGGGTAAGCCATCAAATAGGAGCCATGACACAATCACACTGAAGCATCCTGTGAGAAAAAACACCCTCTGCTCTTCCTCTCTCCAGATGCCCTGCCAGTGTCTCTTTGGGGCTAAACCCAACAGGACACCATGTCAGTTAGGTTCCAGCAGTCCTGCAAGAGTGGAAAAGAAAAGAGAGGGGATCTAGACAGGCAAAAAGACTGAAGCAAACATGAGCAGCTTGATCCAATGGTGCTAGCAGATTTTTGTGCTACATAATGCTGATAGCTTTGTTGCTGAGTTTTAAATGTGATATTGAATAAGGCAGCAGAAAAGCTACCTGAAATTTAGTTATGACACATTATAAGGAAAAAAATATTCTGAGAAGTTCATCTAGACTAAAACTTTGACATTGCTTAAAAGTACATTTTGGGGGCAAACATGAAAAGTCCTTTCAAGGTGCTTGTCAAGTCTCCAAAGCTACTTCTTAGAGAGTTCAGCGCCTTAAACATGATAGTCCCACAAGGAAATGACTCCAACACACTTAGTTTTTTATCTTAAATCCCAAGAGGTATTACTTTCTTTGTTCAATTTTTAACATTTAAAAATTGATATGAAGAGACTGGATTTTTACAATTGTTTACATTTAAAAATTTTTTACATTTCTTAAATTGATATGAAGAGATTGGATTTCATGTATTTCATAGCTGTAATTTCTAAGAAACATATCTCCCTCAAACTCTGCTTTCTTCTTTATTTTTTTAAAAGATTTCCTTATTTTTATTGGAAAGTCAGATTTACAGACAGAAGGAAAGAGAAATGTATGTCTCTTGGTTCACTCTCCATGTGGCCACAAAATGATTTGAGCTCAGCCTATCCAAAGCCAGAGGCCTCTACTTCCAGTACTCCAACAAGAGTCCAGGGTCCCAAGGCTTTGGGCTGTCCTCTGCTGCTTTCCCAGGCCGCAGGGAGCTGGAAGCAAAGTACAGAATCTGGGACATGAACTGTCCATATGGGAACCCTAAACATGCAAGGAGAGGACATTGCCCACTGGGTTACCATGCCAGACCTCCTTCATTTCTCTTCATTTCTCTTTTTTCTTTCATATTTACAATATCATAATTTCATTTACTTTAGTTCTTGAACCTCAAAGCCCTCATGGAATGTGCTGTTCTTCTGTTCCATGTAATAGAAAGTCCCAGTAGCAACTGACCTCGTAATCGTTTTGATATGCCTTTTAGGTGGATAACACCCTTACCTCCTGCAATTGTCATAGTGTGTATTACAGTTCTCCCTTACTCTAACACAGAGAAGGCCCTTTGGAGGCAGGCCAGGGTTTGCAAGTCTGGTGGCACAATGGAGTAGCTGTAAGACACAGGTGGCCATGGAGCACTTGAAATGTGCCTACTTGGAATCGAGACATGCATTCAGTGTAAAACACACATGAAAATTTCAAGATACAAGGCCAAAAGAACCATCTCCTTCATAAGTATTTGGATTACATGTGAGAATAATTTTGGTTAAATAAATTACATTCACAAAGTTAATTTTGCCTGTTGAAATGTGGTTACCAGAACACTTTAAACTTCACACATGATTCACATTATGCTCCCATTGGTCAGCACTAAGTAGTAGCTGAAGAAGTGTCTTCAATGTTCTTTGGGGGTTACTGGTGGTACTGTCCTCTCATTTCAGGTGTTTGACCCTTTGAGGTTTTCTAAGGAGAATTCTGATCAGAGACACCCTCATGCCTTCCTACCATTCTCAGCTGGACCAAGGTGAGAACCATTTGAAGTTGTTGAAAATGCACAGAAGGGGAGCCAGCACCGGGGTATAGTAGGCTAAGCCTCCCCCTGCAGTGCTAGCATGCAATATGGATGCCAGTTTGTATCCTGGGAGCACCACTTCCAATTCCTGCTTATGGCCTGGGAAAGCAGGGGACGGTGGCTCAAATCCTGGGGTCTGTGCACCCACGTGGGAGACCCAGAAGAAGCTAGGTCCTGGCTCCTGGCTTTGGGTCAGAACAGCTCAGCTGCAGCTATTGCAGCCACACAGGGAGTGATTAGCAGATGGGAGATTTAACTCTATCCTCCCTGTAATGCTGCCTTTCAGATAAAAGTAAAATAAATCTCTAAAAACGTACACAGAAGTGTTTAGTTAGGGGTCTAGCTACGTCACTTTAGCCTCTCAGGTCTATACATTCTTCCACAGAACTCTGTCTTCTCATCTGACCATGAGGTGGATAGCAGTGCCCATCTGAGCCCATCAGTGGGTCAATTAGATTCACAAAGAATGGTCCCCTCTCTATCACACATTGTGCAGCTGGGCCTTCAAAGGTAATCTCATGACGTGCGTGGCTGTGCGCAGGCTCTGTGCAGTGCACACCCTGGGGCAGAAGAAGCAGTTCTTTGACTATCTGAAATACCATGTTGTTACAAGGAGGACGAGGAGGACGTCAGGTTAGAGCCTCCTAGCTAGGGAACAATGTCAGTCAGAAGTCTGAAAGTTTCCACAGAATGAAATGTTGCCACAGTATGAAATGTTGCTTTTTTGTGAACTTTACCCTTGTTATGCCAGTAACTTATGAAAGAGTCAGAGAATCCTTTTTCTCAACATCTCCTCTCCCCCGACGTCTGCAGGAACTGCATCGGGCAGCAGTTTGCCATGCTCGAGTTGAAGGTGGCCATCGCCTTGATTCTGCTCCGTTTCAAAGTGACTGCAGCCTCTCCCACACCTCTGCTCTTCTTGAACAACGTCATCCTCCAACCCAAGAACGGGATCCACTTGCACTTACAGAAACTGCCTGAATGTCCAATCCTAAAGCACAATGGCTAAATTATTTCTAGCTAAATGTACAACTAATTACCCAGGTGAATGCGAGGGATTGAAAGTGTTGAAGGGCATGAAGATGGGAGGGGTTTGGCTGGGTGGTCCTTTGGAACTGCCCATAATCCAAAGACATTTTTAAGTCGCATGGCTAGAATTTCCATAGGGTTTGGTCCACACATCCCCCACAGAATCTACCCCCAGATATGGTTCTTGAGTGCTAGTTAATGACATGGCTGTGCATAATGTGACTCTTTTCCTGATCAAACATCATGTCAGGTAATAGGATATGATGCTACTGGACAAGCCCTGAGCCTTAGCTTTTGCATGAATTTGTGTTCAGTGGTCAGCATTGCTCAGTGTTTACAAGTTCTTCCAAAGAAGAGTTATTGTCATTGGGAATCTTTAGGATTGCTTCATGTCCCAGAAGTGCAGTGGGTTTAACCTGGAGCCACCTACGCAGTGATTCATAGAACCAAAACCCCAGAGGTCCCTGACGAGGGGCCAGCAAGCAGAGCCTGGTGCCAAATGGCTCACTGGCTGCCCAGGGACTGCTCACCACGTGCACGAAGTGGCTGGAGTCAGGGATCCAAACATGGAGATGCCCCACCTGAGACCCACCAGCAGCCAGGAAGCTGCAGGAAGTTTAAACCCCCAGGCCCAAGGTCGCGTCTCTCCCCAATCCCATTCACCGCCCAAAGATGGCGGCGGTTGGGTCCTGGGCCCACCCAGCCTCCAAGACTTCCCCCCTCAGTATACTCACCCGGAAGGGGGCAGCCCCTGGAGTCCAGGCAGACCCGGGAACAGCTTACCACGTGCATGTGGTGGTTGGAATCAGGGATCCAAGCATGGAGACACATCCGCCTGAGACCCCATTGCTTGTTATTTTTTCTGTCTGATTTTGGAAGTTTATGGGGATGTTTGACTCTTCTATGAATCTATGTAGTAAGCATTTGACCAGGTGACTTTTGAGTGTTTCTGTTGTTATTAAAATATTTTTCAAAATTACATAGGTACTTGGTGGATGTATGAAAGCTTAGGCAAAATTTTTGCAATATTAGAAAAGCATATAGAAAACTAGAAATTCCACTTCACAAAGCTTGCAACCCATGCCATGATCAATTATTTTCCTGAAATCAATGCTTTCTTGGGCCCGACACAGTAACCTAGCACCTGAAGTCCTTGCCTTGCAAAATAAGTAAAATCGTTCAAAAAACCTCAATGCCTTTCCTAAAACAAAATAGTTTCATGTGCAGCTTCAGACTTTTTCCTTTATGTCTTATTCTTACTTGTATGTATGCATGTATTCTTATAAAGGCATTGTATCTATATACTCCTTGGTATTTTACTTAATATAAAACTATCACATCCTGTAACATTGCTTCATGGGATCCTTTAAGATGAATATAATGCACTTCACTCTTTTTCTTGATGAGTATTTATGTTATGTAGATTTTAAAATATTGCTTTCTGGTCCATTTTTATATATTTTTCCTCTTTGATTTGTCCGTACATTGTCTTCTTCTTGTTGATAAAAGTTTGTTTTTTATAAAACATTTATATTTTTTTACTTGAAGGTGTTACAGAGAGTAAGACAGAGAGAGCTCATCCATCCTCTGGCTCACTGTCCAAATGACCGCAGTGGGCAGGGCTGGGTCATGCCAAGCCAGGAGTCAGGAGCCATGTTAACTCTGCAACTCTGGGGTGAAACATTTTGTGGGTATCAATTAGGTCCATTTGATCCACGGCATAGATTAGCTCTGTTGTTTCTTTGCTGATTTTCTATCTAGTTGATCGGGCCATTGATGAAAGAGGGGTGTTGTTGAAGTCCCTCATTACTACTGGATTGCAGTCTATGTCTCTCCATTTCTATTTTTTCTTTTTCTTTTTTTTCCCACATTTTATTATTATTGCTATCATTTTACGATACAGTTCCATATTCCCCCATCCCCTCCCCAATTCCCTCCACCCCAGTTCCTTTATATCATTATTAACATATAGTTCTTCATATTCAGTCATATGTTCCTCATTGCGGGCATGGACAATGGCAGAGAGTCCAGAATCCTATTGTCAAAATATAATATAAACAGTTTCACTGTAAGTCCATCTTTGTCTGGAAACAGAGATGCCGACCACACTGCATCCTCACATCTGGTTGTTAGTCTCCATTACATAACTACTGTACATTCCCTTAAATGAAAATTCATGATACAGAATCAACAATAGAAAGAAAAATAGAAATTTACAATGCCATGAAGTTAAATGACATGTTACTAGATATGACAGTCTCCATTACACAACTACTTTACCTTCCCTTAAATGAAGAGCCACAAAACAAAATCAACATCAGGGAGAAAACAGAAATTAACAACACCAAGAAATTAAACAACATGCTATTAAATGTCCAACGTGTAGCTGGAGAAATGAAAATCAAGAACCTTCTTGAAGAAAATGATGCCACTGCATGATCTACGAGTCATTGAATGATTTAATCAGAAGGAAGTGTTTTGAAGAGATGAAACCAACAGAAAACAACAAAACCCATGTGATATAGTTTCCACTGATCTTTGTTGAAGTGTGTCTCCTCCCAACAATAAACAGATGGGTTTTGTTTTTTAATCCAGTATACTAATCTATGATGTTTGATTGAGCTTAAGCAATTTACATTCAGAGTTAAATATGCATAGGTGGTACTTTGGTCCTGCCATTTTAGCAATGGGTTGTTCATTGATTTAGTCTTCTGTTGTCATTTTACTGGGATGTTCTTGCCGTTTGCCTTTGGTTTTGGTAGGTGCTATTCCTCTTCTCTGTCAAGAGAACATCTTGAAGTATCATTTGTAGAGCAGGTTTGGAAGAGCCAAATTCTTTTTGCTTTTCTTTACTATGGAAGAATTTTATTTCATTTTCAAAGATGAAAGAAAGCTTTGCAGGGTATGCTATCCTAGGCTGACAATTTTTTTCTTTTAGAATCTGGAATATGTCACTCCATTCTCTTCTTGCCTGCAGAGTTTCCTGTGAGAGATCTCCTGTGAGCTTAATTGGCATTCCTTTATATGTCAATTGATGTTTTTCACGTGCACATTTAAGGATCTTTTCCTTATGTTCAATTGAAGAGAGCTTGATAATCATATGTCTTGGTGAAGATCACTTTTGATCAAGCCTGTTGGGAGTTCTGTGTCCCTCCTGGATCTTGTTTCCCAATTCTTTCTCCAGATTAGGGAAATTTTCCTTGATTATTTCCTTAAATACATTTGCAAACTCAGCTTCTTTTTCTGCACCTTCCGGGACTCCCATAATTCTTATATTTGGCCTCTTAATAGTGTCTTTCAATTCTTGAATACCTTTTTTGGCCTGATCCAGCTCTGCTTCCAGCTTTTTGTTTGCTTCGCCCTGGTGACAGGAGATATCTGCCAATTCTGAGATTTTTTCTTCTGCTTGCTTCATTCTATTTTGGAGACTCTCCACTGTACTTGTAATTTGCTCTACTGTGTTCTTAATTTCTGATATACCAGCCTTGATTTCCTTTACTGCTTCCTTAAATTCTTTGAACTCTTGCATTAACTTCTCATTTTTGACCAGAATCTTTAAAATGAGTCTTATGGATTCTGTGTCCCCCATTTTCTCAATGTCTTCCTCAGTTAACTGTGAGGTTGGCATAGGGTTTAGCTCCTTTGCAGGGGAGTTTTCAGTAATATTCATTGTGCCTTTGTCTCTTCTTTTGTTCTTGGTCATTGTACTTCTGGTTAGCAGAGTCTTCTTCTTGGGGCAGTTTTCTAAGCTGTGTCACCCACAGGTCTACAATGCAATTTTACTTATTGCAGTTGGCACACAACTTTTTGCTTGCAGCCACTTCTGCCACAACCTCCAGTGAGTTCCAGGTCTGGCTTCTTATGTCAGATATCCATCGTGGTCTCCACAGCCCAGCTCTTGGCTCACCACTCTCCACCTCCTGTGATACCGTGCTGAGGCTGCACTGTTGTCTCTGCAACCTTTCTCCCTCTTCTGGTTGGAGTGGTTTCCAGGATTAAAGAGACACCAGGTGTACTATCTAGTTAGGTTGTTGGTGATGCTGATCTTGTCGGAACTTGTTGGACGCTAGGTCTGGGTGCCACACGGACCTGTTTTGACCGGTACGATGCCACAGTCGGTATTATTTTCCTGCGGGACCTCAGCAAGTTCTTGCGAGCTCAGCACATGCGCAGTTCACTGTTGCCCCCTGCAGTCCCAAAGCTTTTGCCACAGTGCACAAAATGGGGCCCGAAGTGCTACCACAACAGTTCTTGATCTGCTGGCTGACAGATCCAAGGGTTACCCAGACCTGCCCAGGATGGAACCCGTAGAATGCCTCGTTGTTGCAGTTCACCGAGTCAGAAATGAGCACACTCCCTCTCAGAGCATGTTCAGTCCTTTCCCTTGCCTTTCCTTCTTAGGCAAAATTGTGCCCAAGTCTCCTCTAGGGGGCTGACTGGGCTATGAAATCCTCGCTGTTCTCGCACTGCCCGCCTGGGACCAGCTGCTCTGTCTTTGCTCCTGGTCAAATCAAACGGACCAGCAGGACAGACAGTTCCCCAGTCTGGCTTCACCTCCCAAGTTCCCAGTCAATGTCCCTTCCCACCTGGTTGTTGGTGGAGTTCCGGCTGCTGGTGGAGTTTAGATCATTCACTGCAACACTACACTGCTGTGCCCGCTGCTTTCCTGTGTCTGTCAGTCTCTAGGTACCCCTCTGCTGTTGTTCTGTCCTTTTGTATTTCCTGAAATATGTCCTCTCTGTTTCATTCCGGTTAAATGCCTCTCCGTCCGTTTAAACATGTCCTTACCCTATTCCGCCATCTTGATTCTCCCATTTCTGTTTTTTCTAAAGGTTACGGTAACTGAATCTGTTATTCTATGGTGTAAGCACAATGTTTGTCATTTGTAGTCCTCTTTGGCAGAATGTCCTGCCCCAGATGAATGGATCCCAATTGTTGTTAGGGATATCCTGACCACTCTGGTTGTTTCATGCTGAGAAG